CCCAGCAGGATGCAATTCCTTTGAAGAGCATTGTGAAAGTGATTTAGGTCCAGGGGTTGAACCCTGTTGTATTTTCAAAGCTGTGGTACTGTGCTCTTGAGAAACTTGAGAGAGAAAGAAATTCTGCAGGACATTTTTTTTTTTGGTAGGCTTCAGAAAATAATTTCAGCCTTTRCTGTCACAGAGAACACACTATTCCGCTATCGATGTCTTTGTTTTGGCAAAAGGCTCAGTACACTTGTAGGTTCCTTTACCTACACACTGCAAGAGGCTTAATACTGAGGGGATCAGTTAATTATTCTATCACCCCCAAAATAGGTGTAACATAGCCTTTTACCTGCTAGGCAGATGCCAGAGGAGAAGTGAGATGCTCAGAGCCACTGCAGAGGCAAGCACTCGGCTCAGAAGTGCTCTGCCTTTCCAGACCTCACTCTCACCCCCACCCAGGCTGTGTGATTCAGTTTTCCTGGGGTCCCAGAGGGGACATCAAGGCCTCCAATTCTGTGGTAAAAGCCAAACTCAGTCCCACTACCCAGGGCTGGACATGCCTTCAAGCCTGGAGAGCTGCAGCTGCTCCTGGGCCATTTGTTTGTGCAGCCAAGGAATTGTGAAAAGTTTGATTTCTTGTAGGGCATGCAGAGCTGTCAGTAAAACCAGACTGTGATCCAGAGTTACAGCAGTGCCTGCTGTTAAAACAGCCCTATGCTMGAGGATACTGCTTCCCCAGAACCCTGCTAATGTCAATAAGCTGCCTGTACTTCAGAATAAATATCATTAATGACCAGAATGTTGATTTTGTATGCAGTGATCRTCCCCAATGATTTTTCCCCCTCTCTAGAGAAATACTAATTAGTTGAATTTCATCACCTGAAAGTCAAGTTCATTTTCAGTTACTAGAAGGCTTCATAGCTCTCTTCACCATTTTGACAAAGGCATTAGGACAGTCTGTGTAATTATTTTTTTTTTAAATTTTGGTGCTCCTCAATCATTATTGAATTTTTGAAATAGGATCATGTTCTTTCACTGCCAGAGTGTAATCTGCTTTGGATTGGAGAATGACTGTGTATGATACAGAATGATATAAGAAAAGGGAAATGTAGAGGAAGAAGAAATTTTAACCAAAAATGCCACAACAATTGCTTATCTTGGGGGACATTGTACTGAGATCCCTTCTGACACTGCAGATTAGATGGGCTCAGAGGGAGGATTATCACAARTATATCAGAAACATCTGAAGTTCCAAAGTAAGCCTCACCTCTGAAAACTGGACCATTTCTCTGTGAGCTACCACTGGTGACACAATCCACCCATTAAACTGCAAAGATCAGCCTTATTTATCTAGGAAAAGATAAGACTGCTGCTGTATCAGGCAACTAGAAGTCTGATCCTGCAATAACTACAGCATTTTGGTGATGCATTAACACCAGGGGACAGGATCCTTGGTGTTCATGATGTGAGTACTGGTGGCAGTCTCCTGTGTGGGGCTGTGAAGACAAGGTCTCTGCCTCAGAGAATGTGCAGTCTGGAGAGGTGGTGTGCAAACCAGAAGGTGGAATGAAGGTTCACCTTGATAAGATTTCTTGCTTAGCTATTTTATTTTACTGTTTTGAAAGCATAGGAAAGGCTTTTTATTTTTTACTTGCCTAAGGACAAGGTAAAAATGTGGCCTGCTTTCATTTCACTTTGCTTTATTGAGAACTATGTCACCACACCCACGAGGGAGCTTTGAACGTGTCTATTTCAGTGCCTTTAATATTAGCCAGAATTTCCAAGACAGCACCAAAGGGAGAAATGAGGTCACTGGAAAGCAATGGCTATAAATTGTAAATAAGATTGCTTACAGGGCTTATGTGGTAGATGGGAGTGATAGTGATGTTTGAAGTTTACCATCTGTGCCCAAGAAAAGGAAAACATCCTGAGACACAGATGGCCAAGTACACTTTCATGCTGTTCTTTTCAGAGAGGAAAAAAGTCGTTTCTGAATGCAGTTKTCCTAACTTTCTGTTATGCAGTGCWCTAAAGACATGCTTTTGTGTTTYKTTGATTTCGCTCTGATCTTCTGACTATTTATTTGTCATCAGACACAAAAGYATATCAGTTGTCTGTTGACATCCACTTCAAACTTTCTAGACTTTCTACTGTCCTGGCTTAGTAGAGCATGGAATAATASTGACTGATACTRGTGGATTGGRGAAAAAAAAAGCATTCAAAATAAGGATCATGTCTCTRTTTAGCCATAAAAATAAAATAAATGCAGAAACAGACTTAGGAAAGAGGTCCCAATGCCCAAAAGCCACCAAGCACTGAGGAATCAGAATACTTCAGGCAGTGGGTAACTTACTGCTTCTGGTCATAAAGCTTCAGTGACCTTTATGTGGGTTGAGCCCTGCCACTGTGTGGAGYAGAGTCACAATGTAGGGAGCCTTGCTGACCTGTACGGTGATTTGTTTGGAAGTGAAGATGCCCTTTGCCTCAACACTTACTGATACRGAAACTGTGAACACTCTGGGCCTTCAGCCACTGATAGATTGTAAAGAGGTCAGCATGTCCAGTTAGCTCTGTCATGCAAAGGCATTGGTACACTGCAGTCATCTCATCCAGGGCTTTTTATCACTTCTTTTCAGCACAGTTCAGAATGTCCAAGCAAACCTGATATATTTTTTTTTTTTTTTGGTAAGAAACTAAAAGACTCACTGCAAGGTTCAGATTTTCAGTAGAGTTCCTCCTGCATCTTATTTGCAAGACTGAGTAATTTAGCCCTCTAAATTACAAACAAAAGCACTGGCCAACKCTAGCTAACAGCTCTGATGGATGCTATTATATTTCTGCTGCTAGTTGGCACTCAACCCTCACTATCTCATCAGCATAAAGGGATGCTGTCAACTTGACAAATTGTGTCTTCCTTAGAGGGAGGAAAAAAAAACCCATACCTACTATTGTTCCAAAGCAGCCTTTACAAGAACAGTGACTAGAAGAGAGTGAGGATGAAAGCAGGGTGCTATTTCAGTGCCTCTGTTCTGTGTGTTTATTTTGCATATTTGACAGCRCTGTGCAGTGTGTCAGTGTTGCTAGTGTGCATTAGCACTTCCCCTCCCAGACTGGTAAGATGATGCCTCCTGGGAGCAGGGGGTGCAGGAGGGTCAGCGAGGGGAGGGAATGCTTTCATCCCAGGCCTTGTATTAACAGCAGCAGCCAAAGTGARTGAAAAAGCAACAAGAGAATTTGTAGATACACTGCACAGGATGCCATTGTGCTGCCTGCACTATTTTAAATCGGTTTCTAACATGMTTGGGAAAGAAGAAACTCTCCCTCCCCTCACCTTCCTTCTCCACACRTGATTTTGCAGTGTCCTGCTCTCTGCTATTTAAAGACAAATCTATGCAAAACTCTCATTGTCTGAGAGAGGCCAGTTAGGAAAGATTCATAGTTGTCAGCATCTCTTTAAATACAGCATTGTTCTTTCCCTTGCAAGTGCCAAAGCTCTCCCCGGAGGACTTTGCATCTAACCTGGCAAAAAGAAGGGGGAATTCTCCCTTCTTTGTGTTTAAAATGACTGGCACGGTGCAGAGAACCGTCTGCTGCTTCCATCCCTGSCAGCTTCCCCTAAAATGTGCTCAGCTGCCTCAACCCACAACTATGGGAGCAGTTGAGAGACCTCTTGCTAAGCAGTGGATAATGTCCCCCTTCTGGTCTGGGGCTGTTTGGACTCTGGCAGTCACTGATTTGCTCCCAGATTGTGAGGAGCACAGCCCAGACTGCCGTGTCCTGCCGAGAAACTGAGGAGGGAAGGGAAATAGGAGACCGAGCTCGCCATCTCCTGGGGAAAAAGAGTTTACGCKTGCAGGAATGTTTCTTTTGTTATGGCATCCTTTCAACAGTGAATTATGTCAAAGGGTGGGTGCATTGTGTTGGTATTTTTGTTACATATTTCATAGGTATTCAGCAGCAGMGATGTCAGTGTCAGGACCCGGGCATTAATAACTCCAGAAAAGAGGTTTATAAAGCATTGAGCAGCAACAGTCAGGYTCTTATGTGCTTAAAAGGGCAAGGACTGTTTGGCACTGATCCTTACAGTGAGGCTTTYGAAAGGATACCTACTATTTTTTGAGTGTAACTGAAAAATTCAAGACCTTCAGCACATTCTCGTCAGCCTTGCTACAAATGAGTCCCTGCTGTAGTTTGTGAGGTTTAAKTCACGGGTGATGGCAGTGCAGCTGCCTTCAGGCACGGGCCAGRTGAATGTCCACCATGAGAGCAGATGGAAACACTGGGCAGTTCCACATAATGGTGGTGGGTGAGCCAAGGCCTTGCATTGTTAATGCTGCAGGGCTGTGGTGATGCAGAGATATTCCTGACTTGGTTACTGGAGAGTGACAAACCAACTGGAGACTGAATTACATCGTGTGAACCAAGTTASACCTTGGAGAAGGCAGTTACTCAAYAAGGCAGGCCCAAGYGWCACAAGCATGATTAATMTCTCATATTAAAAACAGAGCCAAAAATCAGCAACTACCTGCACAATATCTGTGCAGATGGGGGAAAAATACATGACAGTAGTGTAATTACTGTATCATGGAAGAAAGTTTCTGACTAAGGGGTCAAAACGATAAAAGGCTCTGGGGAAGGGGAATTCCTCAGCTTCAGGTGCTGCCACTCCACAGCTTAGTGAAATGAATCTTTTAAGGGTATAGAAAAAAGAGTGGTAAATGTATTAAACTACCTATTTTTATAGGGATTGTTATGACTCAGAATAACCAAAGTTAGAAAGCAGCTGAAGAAATTACACCACTAGGTATGTTGTTCGTAATRCCAAAAATTGAGATTAAGCTGGACTGTTGTGGGTTTTAAGAGAGATGTCTGTTTAACAGGAGACCTCTCCCAGATTGGTCACCAAAAAGCCTTTTTCAATCCTRATCTGGGCAGATGGCCCCATCTATATAGTTAAAGAAGCTTTATTTTATCCAGTGAAAAACAGACACCAAAAAAACAGAAACTAACTTTTTTTAATTTGGATCAAACAATTCTAAACCAGACTACTAGTAGCAAAATAACTTGTCTGAAGTGAAATAGTAAAATCCCAGTTATAAAAAAAGAAAAAACTTTGTACAGATGGTAGCTTTGGAAGAGCTTGAATATATAAATCCCACGTATTTCACTCAAAACCTAAATACAGAGTGATTATTATACCTTTACCAAACCATCATGAGTCTTATAAAGTCTTCTACTATTTTGAATAATACAAGGTAGGTTTTAATGTTTTTAATGTTTTTTCAACACTTTTGACAYAGTCAGATTCAACAAAATGATTGTGAAATTACAATTTTAATTTAACTTGCATAATTGTGTTTTACAAATAAATTTATCACTGCTTTCCTTACCGTAACTGAATTACCACCATTATCATGTGTATATGTAGAAAATGGATTTTTTATTTCTCAAATACTGGAATGAGGATGGAGCTTTTAAGCTCCACTTCACAATGAAGGCTTGTGGTTTCCTGGCAGGAGTTCATTCAGGTGATTCACATACTAYGACAGTTCATTATTTAGTAATGTCCTTGGACAATTCTCCAGACACACTTGTGGTGATAACCCCGTTCAAGGGAGATGCAAACTGTTAAGGGAAGAACAGCCACCACAGTTTTGAAAGGCACAGAATGTAGAGTTTACAAGGCTTAGCCATCAAAGAGGAGAGGGATTTTACTGCTTCCTAAATATGAGGGGAAAATGGAAAGGAAATAAAGAAGTAAGCAAAAGAGGTCAGTGTTGGCACAGTAACAAACTGGTAACCGAGGACAGAAGAATGCATCATCTCTTAGGCTAGCCCTACCAAATAGCAGCAATGTGGAGAGGGAGGAAAAAAATCTAACTCATTTTAAGAGAGCAATAATTTTATGAAAAAGATCACATATGATTACCTGCAGTAGCAGGCAATTTATTCTGTATAGCAGTCTCCATAAAAAGGACTTTAATGTGAAGTTCTCTTGTTGTCTGGGTAATGACAATCCTACYCAGCCTCCCTTGTTTTATACACCTTTTTCTGAGCAGTGTCAGCTCTTCTGGCTAAGGAGATAAGAGCCAACAATAAAATACCTAACAATTTAGGCAAAGATTTGAAGGCAAGCTCTCACAGCATCCTAAATCTTGGGCTAGAAAATACCAATGTCTTCCTGCAGAATGACTTGAGATCTACCCCTTGAAGTCACCAGATGTTTGGCATGTCTCTGACCCCCTTTTATCAAACTCCACCAGCAACTTTTAGCTACCTCAGAAAGCTCCCCTCTGCCACTGGAAAAGCCCTTTCAGTTTGAAGTATTTCTTTTCAACTATTCTATAGTTGTATAATGGTTTTACATGAGACCAGCTCTAAGTTCTTCATTCCATTAGGCCCTACAGTATCTCAAGGATTTCTTCTGTTTTGACTTCTTCAGCTCCTCTAACAGTAGAGGACTTCATCCTGCATTATTTATCTCCTCAGTGATTCTTACCTTCAGAAACAGTACTATAAACCATTTRAGAGTTTTTTTAAGGCTAGGCTGCAAAGGCAACAGAACTTCCTYGAACTAAAATACTCTTTTAGAGATGTTTTTCACAGCTTGAATCTTATAAAACATACTCTTAAATACCCATCTCCTCCATCCAGATGTCCCTGTTATACATGAGATGTGCCAGTTTGCCTTGATACCATACTAAGCATTATAGTCTTTGCTCAAAGTAGACATTAACAAGGGACTTGGCACACAGTTGATACATGAGCTGCATTTCACCAGTACCTTTTAAAGGCACAGCCTTCATTTACACTTAAACTCTAGCCTGCACTTTGGGGGCATTTGTAAAATTAACAAAGATATTGTCATTTATACACACTTCTTGAATGATTTCATGTTTCTAAACACAAAAAAAAMCCATTTTGTGTCTTGAAGGAGAGCCCAGTGTTGTAGGAAAGATGGGACTTTGCCATGAACAAAGCATTTGSATACAGACTTCTATAGAAGCTCATCAGAAAAAAACTGATTTTTTTTTATTTTCAGCATTTAGCTCCTCTACACTCTCAATGCACATGTATTTATAAACTTCTGGGTCAAGGTCATCACCTCTAATGTTGTACAGAGGTAGTGCCCATGGAAAAAAGTACCCTGTGAAACTGGACTATAATGAAGAGAAGGAAGTTTAAAACATGAATCAATTCAAACAGGAAACAAAAGATCCTTCTTCAGCAACAAACATGAACATCCATTAAAGCAGCCTAGAATCTTGGCACCATCACAAAGAGGCTGAGGTAACCCAGGACAACATCTCTTCCAGACTGAAAAGGATTCACAAAATCAATTAGCAGTTCATTCTTTAATTAAATGAAGATTTACACGACCAAGAGAACACTTTAGAGAAGTACAGGCACGTATTGCCACAGAGGGGTTTCCTACAGCACAGACAACAGCCTTCAATTCTTTGTTCTCCCAGTCTSATTTTTGTGTGGCAAAGGCAAAGCCCAGAGACCCATAAACCCCAAAAATGAATTATCTGAACTCCTTTTATTTCTTTTCAAACAGAAGGAGGAAATTAGTTTCTGCTGAAGATGTTCAGAATAGTCATTTTGCAAACGGTGCTGTGAAGCTGATCAGAAGGGAATGTATTGTAGCATAATTGCCCTGTTTCAAAGCATTATCCTGTAATAACAATCTGCAGCATGGCTGTGCTTCATTGAGAGGGAGAGAGTGCTACATCCASCAGGCACCTCAGTACATGCACTTTCCAGAGAGAAGCACCCTCCTTTTCTAATGCTGGAAGGCAGCCCATTACCCAGCTTGAGTCTTTCAGATTTTCATTTCAGGACAGAGATAGAACTTGCTTCATTGGCTGCAGCTATTTGCTGTTTCCTGTTATGACCCTTGTGATTAAGCCAGGCTCTGAGCCCTCAAATCCTCTTCTGAAACGGTGACCAGCTTTTGTTCAACAACATAATAGGAAAGCRCTTTTTGGCATCCAACCAAATGAATATTTGAGTGTTAGCTTTTCAAAAGCTATCCCATTAATGCAAGAAAGAAACCACCATCGTTTTGTTTTGTTGAAACAGGCAACATGTTACACTAGGCTGCAACTTCTGACAGCTGTATGCAGAGAATACTTCCCTTCCTTGCTGCGGGAATCCATGCCCTTGAGCATTCATTTGTTTGCAACAGCAGAAAGTTGGTCCCGAATCCTTCCCAGACCTTCTAACATAGTCTCCAGGGTTTCTTTGCTCAGTTCCACAGTCAGTGCAGAAACAACAGGATTATTTCCACATAGGGCAGCATCTTCCTGTATCTTAAAGTAGAAATGCAGATTGTTAGTTGTATGAAAAAATCGTGTTTTTCCAGTGTCACTACAAAAGTCAAATATACAAATATATAGATTAAACAAAATGGTTTGAATTTGGAATCCAGCTTCATTCTGAAGAACCACGGCACAATTTCTAAGCTGTGTGCCTCACTAGTGAAGTGCACTYCCATTGACAGAGTGCAAGTGAGCATCTATTGCTGTGAGTATTGGGAAATTTTGAAGATACTTATGGCAGGAAGCCACGTCTGTATCAAAAGCATCTCAGCAGATACCACATAGGATACTTAACTCCATCCCACATACAAAAATCAGATTTTTTTTCTCCTTCTCTGAATTCCACTCATCTGGTTTTTATTGGTTGGGGTGGGGGGATCCAAAACTCTGCAGAACACAAGCAGCAAGTTTAGCTATCCTCCCCAAATGATAGATATGGCCAGTGAAGGAACTTAGTAGTAACCTGAAGTAACTTCCCAACTAATTAAGTTAGCTTAATGTGCTGATGAGTGCTTAGAATTAAACAGCAATGATTTCATGATTYATCTTCTCTTTTTCTGTAGAAAACAGTGGTGACTAGAAACAAACGTGGTGACTGCTTACATCCTCATGCACAGAAAACCCTCCCTCCTGTGCAAGAGAGCTTTCATCAGAGACATCATTCCTAGGCTCTGTAGCATCTCATCTCTGAGAAAGTCTAATTGCCCACCAGGTGAAAGGCAAGCCCCAGATCCCTGTCTGAACTGGTCTGCACTGGCAAGTCAGGTGTTGGAGTTCATTATTTGAGTCCTTTCCACACACTGCCATTACCTTTAACTGAAGCAGGCAGGTAGGCACTGCCATTCTTACGATGCTGTCTGAAGATGTCTTGATGTCCACCCTCCAGTCCATGTCCACCAGCCGAGGCAGGGAGACTGGGAAATTAAAAAATGGCTCTGTTAGGCCCAGCAGCACWTGATGATACCCGACCYTGAAACCTGTGACTACCACCATSCACATGCTTCTCCACTTCTGGCCCWGAGAAGTGCAGCTTTAATGCTACTATGTGGTTTCGCATCATTTTATTCTGGAATAAGCCAGGCCTCTGAAGGTCTCCTCATAACACTGGAAGGGCAAAAAGGGTTCTCCCATCATTAYAGGCAACAATAGTTCAGTGCAAGAAGCAGAGGTAAATTGCCAAAGCAGCTGGGAGAAGGAGTGCAATAAGATGTCTTCTCCACATCTTCATCCCCTGCCTTGCTGCTGGCAACACTCAATTAGTGTTTCATCATGAGGTGCTCTGGCACCTGCATGCTTACTGCTCTGCTCTGAAACTGGTAAGAAAGCACACAGGAAAGCTCCGAAAATCCAGCAATATAAAACATGTTATTTCAAGTTCCCCAGCCTGGGAATCAAAGCATCCTGCAGTACAGCAAACGTACTGGCAAACTGCAGTCTTCACATTCCTTGAAAATATTTCAAAATCATCCTAATTACAYGCAGCCTAACAGAAACCATTAAATAGTCTGCTGCAATATTGACATCAATAGCTCAGAGCTGGAGAACTCTTGAACCCTCCCAAGGAAACAAGGACAGATCTAACTGGGCTGCTAAGGAAAAAGCTGTCTCAATAGGCTGGATTCTTAGTGTCCTCCCCAGGGGTTGATTGCCAGCCTTCCTACTGATCACAGACACTCAAGTTGCTTCCTATCTGTGCCATATTGCCTAACTGAATTTTTTTCTGGGGAAAGGCTCTCTCTTCCTGCTCCTGTTGCTTCCTTGAGCAGAGCTGCAGGGGGCAGTGCACAACTGGCTGTTTTGTTCCTGCTTTTGGAACAAATTCCAGTTCACAGTCCGTTAGGGCCAGCACTTGGCAGCATTTGCAACAACATAAAATGCATCTGTTTAGCCTTGTATGTTAATTTGCAAAGATTGATTGCTGGTGGCCTGGGAGGAACAGGAAACCATTCACTTTTTTATGTTAATGCAGATCAATCTGTTGGAATGTCTGCCTTGGACCACTGCCTTGGTCCCTAGGTAATGCATGTCAGATACTCCATGAATACAATACTATTGTAGACGACAATCTCATTCCAACAGGGTTAAATATTCATCTAATGAATACAAAGACATAGGGTCTGTTCCAAGAGCCACACAGACAGCCTTGCTTCAGGGCTGTRAAGACTCAGCCAGTGTGTTCTGCTGCTCTCATCTCCTCTAACACATGACAGTGCTAAGGACACAGGAAAAAGCATTCTGTGCTTTGGTAACACTGGAACACTGTTAACTRTAAGCAAAGTATTAGCATTAGGCAGTATTTGTTATCTCTCCCTATTCACATTCCATTAAAACTTTGAGGGACAGTRTATTTCCAGGTCTTGCCATACTATTTAGTTGTTGGACGTTATGGCCTCTGCAGGTCAAAGGAAAGGTAAAAAGGATCCATGCAGACCTTGGGGTRTTCTGTTATGTGTCATTGGCAACCCTCTAAGTGCTACAGTTGCAAAGAAAACCAATTGGAAAGAAAACCACGTGTTGTAACCGCAGGAACACCTAACTAGCGATGATACTATCCTTAAAGGTAGCACTCCTTAATTACTTCACTGTTTAGAAAGACGAGGAAAAAGTAGTCACAAATATATGCAGTATACTTCCTGAAGCATGGAAATGAAAGAATGCACAGGACTGACAAGACATGCAGGGATGAGGTATTTCACAGTATTCTTTATGGTGCAGTCATTGCGTATGAATGTCCCTTAATGACCTGAATGGGGAAGTCAGAGTGCTTAAGTTTCAAAAGTTTTGCAAGTAATTGCCAGACTTCACTCTGCCAGGCAGCCACTGACTGAGCTGTGAATGGGATTGCTTGAGAGCTAGAAACAATTTAGCATAGGATCACAGATCTGAATACATGAGTGTTGGCTTCTGCTAAACTCTGCCACAATACAGCTCCATCTAAGCCCAGCATGGATAACCCTGTGCCACACTGCATTGCACTATTCTAAACTCCAAGCTCAAATGACCTCARAAAACAACATTTGCATCAAGATGTGAACTGCCACTTACTCTGACTTGCTTGTGCTTCATTCCTCCAAGCAGAGCTGTGAAAAAGTGGAGAAAAACAGCATCAACAGTGCTTTGAGGAAAAAAAAAAAAAAAAGGGTAAGCATTTAGCATGGCTCACTCCTGACTGAAAGGTCACTAGCAGAATGCAGGGGCCTGACTGCCTATGCTACTGAGTGCCACAGAAACACTGGGACTGATAGGTAATGCCAAACAAACTCATGATCTGCTGTGGTCTTTTGCAAGGGCAGCTCATTTAGAGCAGGTACTTTTCTCCCTGGTTTTATCAAATTAATGGGCTCCCAAGCACTGAGATGTTCAAACAGAACCATCCTCCCTTGCCACTATCTCACGTATGCTCTATCACATACAATGCCTCTGCACCTGAGCCATGGTCACAAGTGGATGGGCATTTGGATACTACCTGGATTTTCCAGTGCTGAGATCCAGCCCTYTAAGTTTTATCATTATCAGTAGCATTTTCCCACCATACAGCTGCTAAGATAAAAAGGGCTTTGCATATTGGAAACGTGACCCATGTCTGTTTCAAAAGTAGTGGGAAAACTCTGCATGCTCATGGCTGTGTTTTGTTGGCTATTCCACTCAGATGGCATAATCTGTTCAACTCTGCTCATCCCAACCCGTGTGATTATGCCCAAGGCACACCCAAAATTCACAGAAACAAGACTCTGCRTGTCATCAATGTACATCAAYGTTTGATGTCTACCTATCAAACCAYATACACARGCTTYTAACTCTCCATCTGAAAGCAAACKGCAGGTAGGTAGCACTCACATATTCTCCAAGATTATCTTAGTCAAAAGGTTTTTCAGATTTTGGTGGAAGTTTTCTGGGAAGAGACGGAGGATGTCTTCTGCCCTGGTCAAGCCGCGGTACACAACGTGCCTGGTGAGGTTGTGCAAAGCAGACACCAGCTGTCAGGGGAAGAGGAGAAGGGGCTCCGCTGGGTTGAAAAACATAACATACAGCAYGGGACGGGCCTTCCCAGCCAGGAGAGACTCTCGCTTTTGCTGCGAGATCCGCACCACCAGAGCCTCGGACAGCCAAGTCCGGCCCGACAGCCTTACAGGAAGGGGCCGAGCTCCCCAGAGCGTTCCGGCTCGCAGCCTCAGCCCGTTCCCGCCTCGCTGTCAGTGCACAAACCGCGTTTCAGCAGCGCCCGCGGAGCCCCGCACCTTCCCGAGGGCCTGGGCCACCCCCCGTGCTGCCAGCCCCGCTCCTTCCCTCCCGGAGCCCGCGGCCGCCCCGGCCGGCCCTACCTGCTCCGCTTCCTCGGCGCTGACGGCGAGCCCGGAGCAGGAGCGCTGCGCCAGCGGGCCGAGCGCGGCGGGCGGGCTGGAGAAGCTCTCCTGACACAGCTGCCGCACGGCGTCCTTGGACGGCGCCTGGCGGGGAGCAAAGCGGGGGCGCTCAGCCGCGGCCCGGCAGCGGCGGCCCCGTCCTCCCCCGGCCCGGCTCCGCTCACCTTCAGCAGGATCTGCAGCGCCCCGAAATCCCCGTCTCGCAGCGCCGCCATCTTGGCGCCCTCAGCGCCTCCGCCCTCCGCCATCGCGCCGCCGTCAGCGGGCCGGGCGGGGCCGGCGTGTGGGGCGGCCTCGGGATCTGCCGCTGCTCCTGCTCCTGCTCCTGCTCCTGCTCCTGCTCCTGCTCCTGCTCCTGCTCCTGACCCTGACCCTGACCCTGACCCTGACCCTGACCCTGACCCTGACCCTGCTCCTGACCCTGACCCTGCTCCTGACCCTGACCCTGACCCTGACCCTGACCCTGCTCCTGACCCTGACCCTGACCCTGACCCTGACCCTGGTCCTGCCGGTGCCCCTGTCCCTGTCCACGCCCCTGCTCCTGTCCCTGTCGCTGCTCCTGTCCCTGCCGGTGCCCCTGTCCCTGCTCCTGTCCCTGTCGCTGCTCCTGCCCCTGCCCCTGCTCCTGCCGCTGCCCCTGTCCCTGCCGCTGCCCCTGTCCCTGCCGGTGCCCCTGCCCCTGTCCCTGCCTCCCTACCCCTGTCCGTGCCCCTGTCGCTGTCCCTGCCCCTGTCCCTGTCCCTGCCTCTACCCCTGCCCCTGTCCCTGTCCCTGCTCCTGCCGCTGTCCCTGTCGCTGCCCCTGTCGCTGCCCCTACTCCTGCCCCTGCCGCTCCGTTCGGGGCCCTCTGTACTATCACTGCAAATCTCTGCCTTGGAGTTTTGCTGTAAACGCGCTGCTTCAGCCAGCGGGAACGGAAGGTAAAGGGTTTATCGTGACACCACCGCAGCAATATGGGCCATTATCTTTGCAAGCTGCGTCTCACTTTGTAACGGATTTAAATAAGCCCTCTTTCTGAGAAAGTCTAATCTGTCTTTTGTGGTTCCTTGCACATCTGGTTCCAGGGCATCACCAACCTGTGCTCTTTCCTCTGTCACAGTATGCCTATCCTCGTTTCCATCGGTGATGGTTTGTGAGCACAATATTGCTCACAAATGGTGAGAAATATGCAAATATGGTGAGAAATGCGATGTATAAATGCTTCTTCCACTGGGCTTCACAARCTTGACAGGGAAAAGGAAACCTGGGGGAATGTTCGCAGGATATCACTTGTAATTTCATCATTGACCTCTTATAATCTGCCCACTTGTCTTGTTCCCAAACCAATAAAACTAGCATTTTCTACAGTGAGAGGTAAGCAGAATTTTTATTAAACAGAAACTTATGAAATACTATATCCAGCTGGGGGAGAGGGACAGTCACATTTTTCAGAGCTTTTCTAMAGCAATGACTTTACAAGACTTCAGTAAAATCAGATTGATCCATGCATAGTGTATTGGGTTTGCATGGCAAAGTTCTGTTAATGGGGTGGCTTCTTTGCAGATTTGTTAGAAACTTGCCCCATGTCCAACAGAGCCTGAACCAGCTGGCTCCAAGATGGATTTACCACTGGCAAGGCCAAGCCCATCAGTGATGGTGGGAGCATCTCTGGAATACCAGAGTTAAGAAGAAAAAACAGAAGTTACTGCACAGCAGTMATTGTGGCCAGAGAAGAGAGGAGTGAGATTATGTGAGAACAGCCCTGCAGGCAGCAAGGTCTCTGGAGAAAGAGGAGAAAGAAGTGTTCAGGTGCTGGAGCTGCRGTTCYCCTGTAGYCCATGGTGCACACYRGGWTGAAGCAGCTGTGCCCCTGCAGCCCTTGKAGRACYAMGGGAATGCAGATCSRCCTGCAGCYCATGGAGGACCCCACACTGGATACCTGGAGGAGGCTGTGGTCCCACAGGAAGCCTGTGCTGGAGCAGGCTTCTGGTAGGAYCTGGGRASCCAKGGAGAGAGAAGCCCACACTGGAGCAAGTTTGCTGTCAGGACTTGTGACCCTGGGGGGGCCCATACTGGACGTTTCTGAATGATTGCATCCTGTGGAAGGGACACASACTGGAGCTATTCATGAAGAAYTGCAGCCTGCGGGAAGGATTCAYGTTGGAGAAGYTTGTGCAGGACTGTATCCCGTGGGAGGGACCCCATGCAGTAGCAGGGGAAGCAGTGTCTCCCCTGAATGATGAATTGACCATACCCCCATTCCCTGTACCTCTGCACCACTGGTGGGGAGGAGGTAGGAAATCAATAATAAAGTTAGTCCATRTAGCAGGGAAGGGTGGGGGGGAAGGTGCTTTTCAGATTTATTTTTTTTTTCTCATTATCCTGCTCTGATTTTAACTGGTAAGAAATTCAATTTCTATGAGTCAAGGCTGTTCTGCCCATGATGGTAATATGGTGAGTAATCTGTCCCTGTCTTTAACTCATGAACCTTTTGTTACATTTTCTCTCCCTGGTCCAGTTGAGGAGRGGGGGTGATAGAGTGGCTTTAGTGGGCACCTGGAATCCAGCCAAGGTCAAACCACCACACCTAGGCTAAGAACTTAATTGTACAAAGTAACTTTATCAGACAAGTAGGTGGAAAGATGCAAAGGATGGGAGGGTGTAGGGTGGGGAGAGCAGATAACTGTCATTGCTATCTCTCACGGGAGTGTGTGGCAAGAGGACGTTTACGTGTGAGTCACGTACTGAGAACAAAGATGCAGCCTGCTAGTAAGCACAGCTGGCATCCTAATGAATTTGGTCTCCAGTCCAACTCCTATTGTCGCCATTTCCTCACTCTGGGAGCCTTATAATTATGAAGAAATAATGACAGGTTTGATTTAATATCAAAATTGAAATGCTATTTGTTTAATATCAAACTTGAAATGGCTGAAGCCAACAGAAGTGCTTGGTAAAATGCTTTATCTGAGGGTGGTTTGATCTTTTCTTTCTTTTCTTCTTCCCTCYCTTCCTTCCTCTCCTCCTTCCCTCCTTCCCTTTTTYCCTTCTTCTTTTCCTCCTTCCTTCCTCTGTCTTCAAGGTCAAATTATCCGGGGTGAAGTGTGAGACTGCATCCTGTAAGGAAGGCTGGCCCTGAGATCAGCGTGATTATTAGGAAGTTCTGAGAAACACCAGTTCAAATATCTGGCTATGCCAGAGGCACTTSTCTCTGAGTTTGAAAGAAGAAACTCCCACTTAGAGGAGTGAAGTGGATTGGATGACCTCCAGATGTGTTTCCTCACAGCCCTTTTGTACTATGATTTCATGGCTGTATCATCCAGTGGGACTCAGCTGCGAGTTGTGAGCCTGCAGATAAGTCTGCACAGCATTGTGTGCAGAAATTGGGTTGGATTTCAAGAGCCAGTTATTGAGTCTGAAAATTAAACTCTGCCTCTGGGCTGGCAAATTTGCCTGCACCCAGGCCTGGATGATACAGCTGTAGTACTGGCTGATGTGACTCTCTCTTAGCTGAGCCAGCCTGAGGTATCTGCAAATTGTTCTCCCCRAAGTGCAGGTATGCGTGGACAAAGAATGTCGGCACTGCAGAAGCTGGATGAGCAAGGAGTCTCCAGACTACGACATTCTTAAATACTCACTTTCTAAAGGGTCCCTGGTAGAGAAATCCTTGGAATATTTAGGATTTGATAGGAAGAACTATTACTTTTTGCCCACAGTGTAGTCTGTATCCATTGGAGCAACTGTTACAGAATAATGCTCTCTTCTTCAAGGGCTTCCAGCCGCCAGGCAGGGCTCTCTGTAGCTGCTCCCTGCTGGGTGTGTGCAATTTTAGTAATAAAGTTGCCTATCCTTTACAAATTAGAAGTGCGGGACTCCACGCTGTGCAGGGGTGGGTCTGAGGCCTTTGGCCGTTGTGCTCCTTTGGCTGCCCGGAGAGAAGGGGCAACCCTGTAAGGAGGATGCGAGCCCCTGTCTCCACACCCGAGGGGGGAAACAGAGCTCTCCCGGCCCGCAGCCCTCCCTGTAAGCAGGGCAGGGCTTTTCCCCAGCCCCAGCATTTTCTGCCCGCTGCTGGCCCCTGGCCAGCGTGACCCCCCTGTACTCGGGGTGCATCACAGCCTTTGTCCCTGTGCTGTGTGAGAGAGGAATGCTCTGTGCCCCAGCCAGTCTGTGGCTAAGCCCTGCAGCGGTTCATAGTGCAGGATTTCCAGTCACTTCTGTTTAGTGTTTTGATATCTATTACTTTTTGTTGCCATTCAGACAAACTGGTTGGTCTGTGTTACTGGGGAAAGTTTCTGACCTGATCACTGGAATGGACAGGTWATCCTTGCTTTAAGGACTTAGGCAAGTCTGTCACGCTCTTTTCATCTTACAGTTTCCTACATTTATTTGGTGAAACCRTTAATTCTGTGATAGTGGGAATAGGGTAGGAGCACTTGGGATACATGATGGGCACTCTGTTCATTGTCAGTCTGTTGTCTGTTGCAGTGGCCCAACAAAGTGCAKGTAATGCGGAATCAACACCTTTCCTATTTGCATTCGTGTGGCATTTGGTTCCATCTCTAATCACTAAGGACCTGYCATCCTGACAGGTTTTTATTTTTAGGGTTTTTTAAGAAATGGAGAAAACCCATGTGGTTCACATTCGGGTTTGTGCTCTTCTGTGTCAGTTTTCAATCACCTTTCAGGTGACAGTATCCCTTCTTCCCTGGCCTCTCAACTGAAGCAGCTGAACTGCCTTTTCAGTTTGGATTGCTGATACTTGAGACTCTTCAAATGGAACTGCAAATTGGAGGGYAAGGCCACTGCTGACAGATGTAAGCTGTAAGGCTCATGCTAACAGATACTCTCTRTGTGCTCTGTGGACAGTTGTCTGTGCCACAACTGGAAAGTGAGCAGCCTCACACTGCTGTAAATCTGTATTAAAACTGGGAAGTGAGCAGCCTAACACTTGTAAAGAAGGCATTGCACATTAACAGCTCATCAAAAGTAATTTTCTTTGCCCCCTGCTGTAAGACAATCCCTATAAAATTTGATAGGCAGTTCAGACTGTTCATGGGATTATGAATATGTTCAAACTGCAAAGTGTCATTGGGACAAAAAGAAGCTGAGAGTTTTCCAGCTGAGAGCACTTGGCCTAAGCATCATATCAAGATTTTACTATTGTCTTTATTCAAGGTCTCATTCAGCTGTAACAACCATTCATAGATGCTCACAAGTCTCCTGGGAGAAAATTCTCTATAAGAATCAATGAAACTGCATCTGCTTTTGTA